TGAACCGCCCAGCATTGCATATCCGTTCAAAGAGCTCTCCTCCAGATGCGTATTCCATAACAATGGCCAGATGTGTTGGTGTTAAAATAACCTACAGTTTGTCAAAGTAATTAATCACTAACTTCTATAAGGAGGTTCATTCACAATGAAGAGAATATACCTCTTTAAACCGGACAATGTTAGGATGCCTCAATGACCTGTGATTTATGATTTCCCTTTGTACATTTTCATCTATCTGTTACACACAATATGAAATTAGTAACTTGCTACTAAATGGAGAATACATAGAAATACCAACAGCAAGTGTAATCCATCTAATATCCCATGAAGCAAATCAAAGTTGGTTTCCGGCCTACAACAAATTAAAGGACTAATGAGCATACAGAAAGTAGCCCTCATTACAAGCCATGTCAGGATATTAAAAAATTATCCGGTCCAAGCTGCCACGACAGCACGAATATTGACTGATCACAATATTGATTTGCAATTTCTAGAGTACTAATCCAATCATCCGGCTACAGAAACTCTTAAGAATGATTATCATTTATTTACAGAAAAAGAACATCTGCATCGGATGGTAAAACACATCAACTTGCGCGAAATTGGCGTGAGTTGAATCTAAATAATGCAGTTTTATCACCTGTGGTCGTCAAAGTTTCAATGTTCTCAAAGTCCGTTAATTAAAACTGAAAACTACAATGAACTTTCCAAGTTAGTTTGAAAACTTAAGAGAACAAAACACGAGGTTGAAGTTCATTTTTCAGCTATATAATTGATGACTTTATAGTAAAGAAAGTTTTCTGTAATGGTTTGCTTCTCTTGACCGTAAGAACATAAAAAAACCCAATTTCAGAAAATTTTCCGTCCAAAAATAGAAGTTAAAACAAACCCATCAGAGTGAAGATCCACTATAGGCTTACAGACCCAACAGCCGAAAGTAACCTAAAATTCTCAAGGAAACCCAGTTCTTCAAACATATGATAGAGAGAGATAGAAATGAAATTCCAAGAGAGAGAGAAAGAGAGACTAACCTTCTCACCTCTCTCGATGTATTTGACAGCAACAAGCTCGTCAGTCTGTCGATCCCTCATCAACCTGGCAACGCCGAAGTTCCCGGAACCAATGTCTCGCACAAGCTCGTACCGATCGCTGTCGTGCATAATCGGTATGTCCATCCCTGGCCCAACCGTTAACGCCGATCGATCCATTTCTCTCTCCTATTCTCCCTCTTTATAACCCCAACCTCAACCCCAACCACCTCCTCAATCAAACCTCAATTCTCTCTCCTACTCTCACATTCTAGAGAGAGAAACTGAAAGGCAAAAGGCTAATCAGGACCAGACGATCGAACCCGAAACCGGTGATGGAGTCGACGTGGCGCGATTCCCACCCTCGATTTGGGAAGGTGACAGGTGAGAGAAAGAGACCGAAAGATGGGATTTTTCAGCCCGTGAATCCTTCAGCGACCTCTGAATTGATTAAAAATGGCGATTCTTTCTTTCTTGGTAAATTAAAAGAAAGAAAAGGCTTCGATTTTTGGCAAAAATTTGCAGAGCCGGTGTGAGACAAATTACCTATTACCATCAAACCTCGTGAACCCTTTCCTTCTTTAGTTTCTCTCTCTTGTTCCTCTCTCTAAAAGCTTGAGGTCTTTATCTCTTCTTTCTCTCTCTAGTTTTCTGTGAATTTTATCCAAAACGGACTTTTTGGGGAAAGGAGTAGGAGAAAAGGTGGAGAAAACGATAACGAGACGCGCGTGTTGTGTTTACGCCGTTGATCAGAAGGACTTCTGGTCTGGAGGGTATCATCCGACGGTAGAGAATGGACACGCGTGGGATGAGAGAATATGGGAAGTGGTGTCATATTTTTTTATCTACTGACTGTTGATTTTTCAGTCCTAGTATTAGAATATTATTTTACCGAGTTTTCAATTTTAAATTTTTAAAGTAAAATTTTTTTAAAAATTATTATATTTAATTTTTTTTATTATAATAAAAAATTTTAAAAAATTATCACATATCAACTCGAATTAAAAATTTAAATTTGTAAAATTAACAAAGCCATAAATGACCTCCTGATCTCCACTCTAAACTATAATTCGTAATCGTACGGTACATATTTAGTTTTTTCTTTTTTCTCTTTCTTTTTTTTTAATTCCCCTTTATAGTACATGTTGTTTACCATTTATTAGGGTTGTACGTTAATTGAGTTGTGCCATATAGGTTTTTTTTTATCCTGTGTGTAGGTTATATATATTTAATTTTGATGATGTTAAAAAAATTTTACAACCTAATAATATTTGGGTTAGGTTAGGGCGGTGCGGGGTAGGTAAGTGGTCGGTTTCAACATTTAAAGAATCAAAGTTCAATCATCAAATAAAAATAATAACTCTAACATTCAAAGTTCATCATCAAATAGAAATAATAACTCTAACATTCAAAGTTCATCATCAGAGAGCCGAGAGGAGAGGCGGAGAGAAGCCGCCGGCGTCGGAGAGCTTAAAGGTCTAGGTGACTAGGTTGACTGGGTTGAGGAATGACTGAAGAGTGAAGACAGTCTGGTCGAGAAAGGACTGCGGCTGAAGAATGAAGAGTATAAATGAGTTGCCTAGGGTTAGATATTAGAGTAGGCAATATTTGTGCGGGTTGGGTTGGGGTATGCAGACTATTATAGGCCTAACTCACAAACCGCTCCAAACACCTCGGGTCAGACATTTAGTGAGCCGAAAAATAAAAAATAATGCTACAAATTACCTTTTTCGGGTTAGGTTGGGGTGGGGTGGGTTAGGTTTACGGGTTATTCAGGTTTATGTACAGCCCTATAGTTTATGTTCCTCTTCCGGCTTAAATAGTTGTCCTTCTTTTATGCATTTATTGAACAATTGTTTTTTTTTTTTTAAAAAAAAAAAAAAAACACTGTCTTGTATCAAAAATATTATCTTCTTGAAAAATAAAATTGAGAAGAATAATTGGTTTCTTGTTATTGGATAATTTGGGCCTCGTTCATTTCACTAATTTGAGTTTTCAATTCTAGGTTTTTACAGTTAAAAGCTCAGAAAATGTCACATCTAACTTTTTCTGCTACAGTTAAAAGCTCTAAAAAATTGTCACATCTCAACTCGAATCCGTAAAATGAACAAGACCTTAGTCTTAGTCGGAGTAGCCTTGGCATTTGATTGAAAAGATAAAAAAAGATCAAATTTGAATTGCTAAAGATGAAAATGAATATACAACATAGGTAACAATTCCCTTTTAGGGTATGTTCATTTTCATGGCTAAGTCATATTGCTCATACAAAAATTCAAATTTAATTTTTGTATTATAATATTTTTCATTTATATATACAACTTAAGTTATAAGTCAAATAATATAAAAGAACAAATTTAAGTTTTCTCGTGAGCTCAACAATGTGCTCAAAGCATTTTTAAGTTGAGAGCAATCATTGTGCAACCATTGAGGTAGTCATCATATCAGAGAAGAGATACTTTTTTTTTCTTATTGTATGCTCGACTATCTTCCTCTAGGTTTCAAATACTTAGACAACACTAATATGATATAAATTTGGTGCAATTTGAGCGCTCAATTGAGAAGGCTAAAAGATCGAGTTTAAATCCAGCAACCTAGATAGTTTTGCCATTAGAATTACCAATAAGCCTAAATATAGACTAAATTTACATTAATAAATTAAATATGATATTATCTCTACTTAAGATATAAATATACCATCATGGCCAACAAATAACCTTAATCAGAAAGGGTTTTTGTTGGACATCACTCTGGTGCACTCAAATTCTTTGATGACTTTTTTTTTTCCTGACACATGCCGAAGGGAAAAAGAAAAAGAAAAAAAAGAGAGAAAAGAAAAAGTGACCCAAGTTGATTACACCTACATGATTGGAGTTTATTTTATTTCGTCATTATAAACGGGTAATGGAGGACGTTGCCAAGAAAACGTTGCATCTCAAAGGCTGACCATTCGAAAAGAAAGTAGTCCCAAACTTTGACCCCAATTTAGAAACTTCTAGTACTAATGTCTTGTCTTGTTAATTTGGGTGAATTTGGTTTGAGTGTGATTCATAATAATTTTGTTGCAAAGAAAGTTGCCATATGTAACGTTTTAGTAGGGTGGGAACTATAAGTGGGTTTCCCTCAGTTATAGGGAAAGTGCTGGCTTTGCCTAGCTTCTTACGCGTGGCCTCTTTGGGAGCATTCCCTCACTTATCACTTGCATTAAAAAAAAAAACACAAAAAAATCCTGCTCAAAGCATGTTGTCCATGAAGTTTTCTTCCAGATTATCTGGAAAGCTTTTCAACACGTGTAGCTTGTTAAGTTTGTTCTCTAAATAGTTTCTTTTTTTATTTTTTTTTTGAAAAAAAATGTTTTATGTTTATTTATGTTTTGCTTTGTTTTTTGTTTTTATTTTCTTGTTTTCTTGTTTTTTGTTTTTTGTTGTTTGTTTTTGTTTTTAGCACCACCACTAGGTTTGTCTACTAAGTTCTATTAAACTGTTATTTCTTGTTCACTTGTGTATATTCACTCGATACCTTGTGTACAACTAGTACCATGTTATTTTTTATTTTTTGATAGAAAGTATACCATGTCAATTGTCGGAGACAATATGATGAACAAATGAAAGACTAGGTGATGTTACTAGGCTTGAATGATGATCACATTCAGTACATTTTGGCTACTTTGACCAAACGAGTTTGAGAATTGTTAGTTCACCAAATTTAAAGATATGGGAATCAAAGCCAGGACTTGGGTTGTTTATCATCATCCTATCAAAACTTGGTTATCATTTAAGCAACAACTCTCTCTCTCTCTCTCTCTCTCTAACTAATGAAGCAAGCAGTGTCTCTTAAAAAACTGAGGACGAGCCTTGGAAGGAAGAGAATAACAAGAAGAAAAACAACTTGACATCCTTGAAACGAAAAACAACTTGCTTTATTAACCATTGTCAATAACTATCCACAGCAAAGAAAACCATGTATATAACTATTAGTCATAACAAAAAAACAAATTGTAGAAATCAGGAGAACTTCCAAGATAAATTACGAAACAATATAAATCCCATCAGACAATTCTTAATTTTAATAAAAATTATCTATTGTTTGGCTTTAACAATTATTTTACCCATTATTGATTATAATATGACTAAGAAAAGCACAATATCCGTGTCTACAATAATAAAAGCTCCCTCAAAATAATTGAAACGAATTTTTTTAGTATAAATAATAATTGAAACAAGTTGAATAGGCATCTCTAATATAAATTCCACAAACTTTTACTTTTGATTGACTTATGTCTTCAGAACGTACTAGATTGAGCTGTCAAACAAGAAGAGTGACACAATACGGGATTATACTGAATTGGACTAAGAACGACATGAGGTGCTAAGTAATGTTAGGCTCATAGTTTAAAACATAGGGGCCTGAAACGACAACAAACACGAGTCAAGCACAAAACGTCCGATCCAGCACCATAAGCCAGTAGCCAACACATTATTTATTATTCATTTTGTATTATATAAATTTCTTGCAAGTTTCTTGTTAATGCTGTACATTTTTTAGTAAACTATAAACTTATTGTTATTGTTATCATTATTTTATACTTGAAAAGTGTTAAAGAAATATGAAAAGTTTGGTGAACTCACTTTTTAAATGTATTGTTTTAAGGTTTTTATTCTTTATTCTTTATTAATATTCTTTTAATTAGTATAATTATTTGACTAAAAGGTTATAAATTAAGAACAAATGATAAAAATTCTGATACATTCACTTTTAAAGAATATTTGTCAAGATTGTTCATGTTTTAATAGACTAAGCCCAGTACAATAAGAAACATTGACGGGCCTTTAATCTCATACCAGTCGGACTCTATTGACATCTCTTCTCTTTTTAGTTTGGACCCTTTTAAAAAATAGACTTAAAATGGACATTCATTCAAGCCACTATGACTCAAGGTGTAAGTTTGAAATGGATAACCCCCTCTAATGAAACCGATGTCCATCATCACTGGCATCCATTTTCGTTCACACTCTGGTGTTGTTTTTGGCATTAATGAGAGCAAAATCAAGAGTGTTCCAAGCTTGAGAAATCAAGCTCCACCGCCGGTATTTGTCTCGAATCCTCTCTTTTTTTTTTTCCTTTATTCGTTGGTTAAATATTGGGTATTCGTACTGTAAAACCCAAAATTTGAAATAGGGTTAATTTGTAATTTTTAAAGACTTAAGTGTGAAAATTTTAAAAATCTGGGCCAAAATGTAATTTTTAAGAAATATGGGGATCAGAAACGGATAATTGGACACTCAGTGAGTCCAAACTAGTATTAATGTCACTTGGGCGTGTTCCACCTCATCAGAAAAATTCAAAACACAAAAACCCACTTTCTCTCTCTCCTTTCTCTCTCCTTCCACGCTTACGGCCGTACACATCCGGGGAAGATTCCGGCGTCCGTTTTCGACACCTCCCGGCTCGTTGGAAAGCTCTCGTTGAGCCGAGTCCGGATTGGTGTCTTGCGGCCGCCAACTCCGCCGGACGCCGCCACACTCGCCGGTCAAAGTTCTGAAAAATCTCAAAAACTTCCGATCGGGATATCTTCGCCGTCCGGTGTCCGATCGAGGTGATTCCGGTCCCAATAGACTCAGAGCGAAGAAA